GAGCCAGTTTTCTTTTTTTGGGTGGAGAGGCTGTTGGTTAATCTGATTCTGCTAATGAAATCCCTTTACTTTTTCACTTTGAAGAAAAAAAATGAGTATGAAAATGTGCCTGAAATGTTATTTATGCTATATTGCTCAAGCACGACTGAAAGCTTAATAGTATTCTGTCAGAGCTTACTAACTGCACATGTACTAACAGACTGCAAGTTATCATTAAAACGACAGAGTATTTTGGAATTGGATTTCTTAATTCAGTAATGATCATACTGTAATTAAATAATATGAATTTAATGAATGAGCATATGAAAAGAAAATATGAAAAATATGATATAATGTCAGCTTTGTACACAATTTTCCAATGCAACATTAAAGATGTTCAGGTATTTTGATAATGAGTGTGTAGCTGACTGACTTAGCCTGTGGTATATGGTAGCATATTGCTTGTGTCTTCTGTGAATACTAACATAAAAGTGCTAGTAATGTTCAGGTGAAAACAGCAACTCCCTTCACACTCAGGTTTTTCTATGGTATATTCAGCAAGCCTTCTGCATAATCAAAATAAGTCCATATAGATGCAACTATTTTCAAACTGTGTGTAGATGCAAAAACGTTTAGTTAGAACCATATATTATTTTCTGTATAAGTATAGATCTACCAGCCAGTCTTAGTCTGAGATATTAGGTCATTGACTATTTGATTTTGAAAAGTTTGTAGTTTTTACAATGTTTATAGAAACAGACTCCATGGTGCTCAAGAGGCAAGCAGTCAAGTTCACATATAGAGATTAAGTTATAAGTTGTAGTTCATGTTTTCACATGGGTTTAAAACCTAAAGAATCTCATAATCTGAAGAAATAGGTATCCAGTTCCTTTTCCATGGGTATATAAACTGTATGGATGTCTGATTCATGACTAGAGTGTATTAAAGAAAACTTAAAAGACAGGATTTCTTTGCTTGTAGATCCACTTTTCATTTAGGTTCCAATTTTGATTGTAATATGATTTTTTTTTTTTATAACCTAACTTCACTAAGTATAAGATATATATTTATATTTGAGGGACATGTATAATTAGCAAGAATTATAGATATTTAAAAGTTTAACATTGCCCTAAGAGTGAAAACCATGGATAATACTGTAATTAGGCATGTAATGATATGAATATGCTTATTAAAAAGGGTGCCAATTTTTTAATGTATCATACCTTGCTAGAATACTTACTCTTGCCCGAAAAAACAAAAACTTATTTTGTATCCAAGTATGTATTCTGGCAAATAATGATAATGACTGCCAAAGTTCTGAAATGAATCACCTTTGAAATATAAATAATAATAATAATAAAAAAAAAGATCCAATAAAACCAAACTTAAAAAAGAGATTGCACACCATATCCTATTAAAGTAAGATTTCAGAATGGCAGCTTTTGTTATGTGTTCAGGGAGAGACATCCAGAGTTCCTACATGATCAGGTTTGCTTATCTTCTGTTAGAGTGACATTCGCTCTTAGTATGGGCTGGCAGGAGATGGAGTATCATGTGAAGAAGAAAGATTGATGCTGATATTCGTGTTATTATTATGCTTATGATTATTGACATTGTTTTTTTATCATTATGATTATCATCAGCATAACAGTATCATTATTATTACTATTATTATTATTATTATATATTATTATTATTATTAGTTATTATATTATCATCACTGTACTGTTACAGTTATTGTATTATTATGATAAAAACGTGCATTCACAAACTGTTAATATCATCTGTTGTATCATCATCAGAATCTGAACTGAAAGAGGCTAGTCTCAAGAGGCTTTATAATATAATAGAATCTTAGACAACTGATGAGAATACAACAGTTTATGGAGTACTAATTATACACAAGATATACTTAAATATCTGTGTAGCTGATGTCTGTAGATTTCTGCCAATATGTATATGTATATGCACTCGCCTTGAAAAGATCTGAAGACTTCAGTTTCACAAGATAAGTGAGAACATATGTTCTTCTACACTGTCTATTGTGTAATAGTGTGCCATTTGCAATTCAACTTTAATTCTCATCACATGTACTGAAAAATAAGTTACAACTTTGCCACACAGTATATACAGTATTTACATCTGTTTCGGTAAGAATGGTCTTCAAACCTGCCAGCCCATAGCAGAGGTTATTCATAAGTAAAATAGTTTACATAATATGCTTTAAATAGCCACAGCCTTATACTCACTACATAATTTCTTGTTGCATTTTTGAACAATTTGTTCAAAAATGTTCTCCAGGTTAATATTAAGAGCAATATATTTACTCTACAGTGCATATTACAGCTCATTGTCCATATGCATCTTTGTATGCAAAATTCAAATACCTCACATAGCATGGCTTTGCTGGTAAACAAAGCGATGTCTTGTACAGTGTCTAAAGACATTATGTAAAGAATGTTTTAATTTTGAATGTAACAGTTTGAACTCTGTGCAGTACACTTATGAGTGTTTTTTTTCTCTCTTTCTTTTGTAGACATTTTTGTTTTTTAGAAAATAGTTTTTAATAGTCATGTTCAGTGTTTGGGCATAGAAAACTCCCATGGTCAAAATGGGGATCCTTATTAAATGTCAGAAAATATTATTGAATAATTAAAATGGTTGTATGCTTTTCTGCCTAATTGATGTTTTGTTTTAGTTCTATAGGTGAAAGATTGCACTATTGCAATGGACACTCATTCTTTGACTTCTGTGTAAAAGTTACTTCAATACTTAATTCCTGCAATGAGTGTATTGTATTTGTATGCTTCCTTAGACTTAAAGTATTATGGAAGTCACATTCTGTCACAGCAAATGAACATTTCAAGTCTAGGTTTTAGTCCCAAAATTCTCTAGAACATTTCTGTTTATGTCAAAACATGTAACTTTGTTTAAATTATGTCTAAATCATGCTTTTTTTAGTAACAAAATAGTATTAACTCCAGCATTTACCTTGATACTTGGAATACATTTAATGTGTCCAAATAACAGGTCTCAATTTAAGTTTAAATTTTGTAATTTTTTGCCTGTTTGTATTTACATGCTTTTATTTATTTACTGTTATTCAGTATCACTTTTAAACAGTACAAATGAAGTAATACACTCCCTACAACCACTACCCTTAATTGTTCAGATATTGGCTTCACAGACACTCAGATGTTCTCACAAGGTAATTTTGTAAAGCAATTTTGACAAGCAAGTCAGTATATCAAAGTAGTAGACATATCTTACCCAGTTCATAAATGTAAAATATCAATTCATTAGAGATCAGGTGACTTTGTAGTGAATTATGCAGCAAACATTTATGACATCTGTGAAGCCTGAATCTGAATAGGAGAAATATTGAAAAAAATATGTAAAACATTTATCAATGAAAAAAAAAACGGAAAGGAGAGAGGCCAAGCCCATATTGCCTGGGAGTGCTATGACAGCCTGGCATGAATTTCACATATCACAGCTGAGGAGTTGAGAATCACTATGGGAGAGGGTAACAACAGCCTTATCAGGAGCTAGGACTACACCATAAATCTTGTACCTGATGTACAGTCAAAATTGTATTAGCTTTTTTCTTTTTTAATTATTAATATTCTCTCTCAGAAATTGTTATCGTAGTCCGCAATATATTTATTCTATATAAGTTAGGGCAGAAACAAAGCCAATCTTTCATATGCATAAAAATGAATGGATTACTATATCACACTTCTTAAAAACAGTCCTCTGGTTGTGCCATTGGTGAGCAGGTCCAGTGGCCAACACTAAAGACCACTGGACTTGGCCACAAGACGTATTGATGCCATTAGAGGCTTCATAGGGCCATGAGTGGGTAAGTATGGGATGAAGAAATAAGATGTAAGGCCAACAGTCCATTCTTAGGACAAGAGGGGATCAATGTTACAGAAAAAGGGGTCAAGTCAAGTGAGGTCATCTTGAACAAAAGCTCAAAGTAAGCAATGATGTGTGAGAAATCTTGTAATAGTCAGCCAGTTTTAGGTGCATATTTCATGTATTCGTGGTTATTGCCCTTGTCATGAATAAAGCAATATCTATGCATTGGTGAAAAAAAATTCAAATTTTAATACACCAGAACTGGTAACATATACTAGGATTTCTACGTATCACAAAAAAATGAATACATCTTTAAAAAGTTCAAAAATTCATGTACAAATTTCAGTTTTGCAAATGTTCGTGGAATACGTAAAACATGCAGACAATGTTTTGTGAAACCATTTATATAATTCATACCAACAACATAGCTATTTGTGCAATGTAAGTAGGTACATCCATTAGTAGCAATGAGTAAAGATTATTTTCACAGTGATTGTAATTGTATGACTTGAAATGTTATTATACAAAATGACCCTAATCCCCAATGAGAGATCCTAAACTTGAAGCTGTTAACAAATGAGTGTTGTCCCTCACCCCCCACAAGTGTTCATATCAGGGCACGTGTACAGCTTGTTGTTTGAACAATTAGTTTGTAGTAAACATTAAAACCTTTTCAAAAGCCTTTTTATATCCCTTTCCTACAACTGAGAATTTTTTAGTTAATATGAAGTGTTTCTGTTCTTATAAATGTGATACAATGCACTGGGAGATAAGTGATAATAAGATGCAATAGTGATCACAAAATAACTTAATAAAACTGGAAATCATATAAAATAAGAAACTGCTGTGTTTTATTAAGTATGAAGCAACTTCAAACATAAGGAGTAAAAAATGAGAGAAGATTGGCATAACAAGAGAATAAAAAGTTACACACTTTCATTTACAAGTTCTATATATATTTCTTGCTTATAGTCTCTCTCTTTCTCCCTTCTCTTTCTCTTTCGCTTTATTTCTCTCTGTCTATCTGCTTCTGTTGTCTCTTTCTCTCTCTTTCTCTCACTCCACTCCCACTCCCACTTCCCACTCCCACTTCCCCTCCCCACTCCCACTCCCACTCCCACTCCCACTCCCACTCCCACTCCCACTCCCACTCTCACTCTCCACTCCTCACTCTCACTCTCACTCTCACTCTCACTCTCACTCTCACTCTCACTCTCACTCTCACTCTCACTCCCACTCTCACTCACTCACTTACTCATTCACTCATATACATGTGCAAAGATACACATGTATTTGAACATATGCCACACCTTTTCCCCACAGAAATGTTCTTTCAAATTATTGACCTAACTCTTATCATACAAATTATGATCTTTTTCACTTTTATCATTATTACAACAATCTTGAAGGCTTATCCTTAACCTCTTGAATTAAATGACAAATCACTTGCATACACATCTCAGCCATAATATTAATTAGTCAATACACATAAAAACTCAGTGTATTTCCTATCAGTGATCACTTCCTCCTCCTCTTGTCATTAAATATCTATGTCTTCTAACCTCAAATTAAAGAAAACGAAAAAAAAAATCCATCAAGTGCTCCCCTTCTGCGAGTCTTCCTGGGGAGTCGCATCTTTATTGGAGACAGAAGGGGCAATGGGCACAAACATTGTGGTGCCATTGCTGGACACAATGCGTCTGGCTCGGATGGGATTCGCAATGACAGCAGGAGGCTTGGGGGCAATCTTCACAAAATTGCTCTGCGAACCCATTTTCTCCAAGATCCCTGTCAGTTTTCCTAGGAGTTCATTCTTCTGGGTGAGTAGCTGAACAATCTGGACACAAAATAAGAAATTCATAGTTATGGGTGATAAGCCCTTGCATTCTGATTATTAAATATGAGATGCTAAACGTAAATAAAAATAAGATGCATACAAGGAAAGACTACCAAGAAATATTCAGCCATTCAATCATTTATTGTAATTAAAAGTGAAGAATCATTGTTCAACTTATCTTTTTCTTTCTTTTTTTCATTCCCCTCTCAGTGGCATGCATAGGGGGGGGGGGCAAAGAGGCCCTTGGCATACCAATGGGAGTAGGGGGGGCCCTTCCAATCAGAGAGGGAAATAAAATAGTGATTCTGAAATTTATATCTATATCACACAAAGTGTCTATCTCATGTCTCATTTGTATTTACATATTCAAAATGTCTCTTTTTAGATAATACTTCTCAGTCTTAGTCCTTCTACTTCAATCTTTGGGGCATACAGTC